ATGAAGTCATTGATGTTTATTATGTGAAAATAATAATAATAATAATAATAATAATAATAATAATAATAATAATATCGCGCTTAATGATTTTAAGAGAAAATTCAATGATAATACTTCCAAATGAGGTGTTACACAAAATGTCATTTGGAAATTAAAAAAAAATGTTTTTCATCCAATCACTTTTTTACAACAAGGTAAATGTCAACAATGATGTCAACATTTGAATGTACAAATGACATAATTTAACTAAGAACCCTTTTTTGTCCTTCAATTTCAATTCCCAATATTCTTTTTCTGTCCCAAATCTTTCATTTCGAACTTAGATTTCAACAACATTAAGCTCATATTTCGCCTCAATTTTTTAAAACTCATTTTTAACTACACATTTCACAAACTTTTATCAAAATCTATTAAAAATTTAATTTATATCCACACCAAAAAAGGGTTAAAATCCATGGCCGAGAGAAATTGTGGGGACAATTGACAACGATATATAGCTATATAGCATGTTTGACGCATCGTATTTGATCGAATAAGAATAAATTATTTTTATCTCTAATTATTATCCGGCATTTGGTACATTTTATACCCAAATAAATAAATGTGGAGTGGTTATTCTCCTTTAGTTACACACAATTAGTAAGCTATATGTGATGGACAGTATTACTTATTCACCATTCATAATTAAGAAAAATTATCTGATTCATATACATAAATTTATAACTTTCAAGTAAATAGGAATTAATATTTCACTCATTAAGTAAAATAACTTATAACTAATAAATTTACTAATATATAAAAAATCACAATAGCTCATGTTTGGTCCTCTTTTTTTAATTTTTTTTTTCAAACACATTTTCAATCACATATTAATGACATTCACAACTTTTCAACCACACATTTTATCAACTTTTATCAAAATTTACTAAAATTTTGATTTTTAGCTAAATCAAATAGGCTTATAAGAAAAAAAAAATCAATTATAAGTAAAAATAATTTTAAGTGAAGAATTTATATGAATAAATAAAAATTGCATATAAGTAAACTGTCATTTTTATGTCAAACATTTGAATATAATTTAAAACAAGTTAATTATGAGAAAAAAATTTACTTATAAATATTACTATAAGTAGAAACATTATTTATAAGTTTAAAAAAAATTATGTAAAAAATCACTTGTACATAAAAAATTCCTCATGAGCAATCGTGCTACATGTACACTGGAGGATGACAATATTGGATTATCAACACTCACAATCGGAGGGGCCCACTTTTTTTTTTTTAATCACAAGGGACTCGCATGTATTGGAGAGGTTGTCAACCTCCATTGTCAACCATCTATTGTACAAATGGAATTACCCATTCCCTATCTATGAGGGTAGTCTACAGTGGTCCAGTCAACTTGTTGGAATTGGATGAATATCACTTTTATGTACAGAAATAATAGACAGAGCTCAACTTATGAACTAAAGCCCTTGAGCCCATCGATTTTGTAGGAGGCAAATTCCATCGTCTAAGAGGTCAAGTTGGTACCTTTATCATTCAAGCGGAGATTATTTTTGTTTATTTATTGACAAGATAATTTATTTCATTGTTTAGTTTAACAGGAGATTAATTGTTAAATTAGTTTTATTAGAATTGTCTTTGTTTAGTTCCCGTAAAAAATAAAATTATGGTTCATTGTTATTTGGCTACTTACGAATAAATTTGAGAGTTTCTCAACTTTTCATTTATTAGGCATTCGTGGCGAATCAATGAATATTTGATGGAAAAATTCTCGGTGTTCAATTACATCAACGATGGTTTGGAGTGTTAATCATCTTCCACATTATTTCTGAGAAACGCAAGATTCGACCCTACTAGACCTAGAGCGGGGTGATTAGGTGTAAATGCGAAATTAAAACTTTAATTAACAAACAACAAGTCACAAGTTAATTATGTCTAGGTGATTAGTCAAACAATTCAAATTATCATATCTTTGAATACCGCAGTTTGTATAAAAAATAATAAATATGAAAGCAATAAATAAAGAACCGCAATATGATGACAGAGAAACCCAACTGAGAAAAACTCCGGACCAAGCCAATTACCTCAACTATAAAAAATATGGATTACAGTATGTTTCCAACTAACAAACTTCACTCGTTCCCGCTGTTGTAATTCCTCCAATTTCCAAGATCTGCTGTTCTTTCCAAACTCATGACCTGCTACTGTAAACACTATCTAGCTAATTTGCTAGACTTCCCGTTCTACCTCATGTAGCCTCCTGAACTGCTGTCTCCTTCTAGCTTCCTCATCTTCTTCTATTGTCTCTTCAAAGTGAAATTTCAAGAATCTCCAAT